CTTTCTATCTCTCTCTTCTCTCTTCTCTCTTCTCTCTCTCTCTCTCTCTCTCTCTCTCTCTCTCTCTCTCTTCTCCTCTCCTTCCCTCTCCCTCTCCCTCTCCCTCTCCCTCTCCCTTCCCTCTCTCTCCTCCCCTCTCTCTCCCTCTCCTCTCCCTCCTCCCTCCCTCCCTCCTTTCTCCATCTTGTCTGCCTGTTTCGCAGATGTGCACTCCCGTATTTTTTATTATTCATGCATGTATCCCTCTCCCTACACCCGCTTCCTCCATTTATGCGCGCCGTAAATATCGTACATTTTCCGAAAGGTTCGATAAGAGTATATAACCGGTTTGCAATATCTGCGTGCGTGTGCTTTTACACCCGCAACAGGTCTGCCATTGATAGAACTCCCACCTCACTCTGCCATGTCGAGCAGCGTCAGACATGAAGTCGACGTTCCAACTTTCAAAATGTGGCGGATGGGGGTTCAGTTCGTCTGCTCTCTTTTAGCTTTTTTTCGGTGTTTCTTTTTAGTTTGTTCTTTAATTTTATGTTTTTTGGGGGTTGAATGAAAGAATGTTGTAAATTAGAAATAATGGGGATACGCCAATTAGGATTCATAGCGACTCTTTTCATCGAAGTCGACGGTGTACCATGATGGCTCTCCAGTCATGCTTCTCAAAATACATTTGCTTCTACCTGTTCCCCGTGGAGATTTTCAGGCGAGCTTTGTGCGAGTTTATTTATATTTCAACACTTATTTATGGGAGCTCCGGTTTTTTTTTTTTTATCTCTCCTCAAATGATATCATTTATATTTTAGGGAAAATAACGAATATATGCGTTGATGATACAAATGTGCACGTGCCCCTTTTCTGCACACACACACACACACACAAACACACACACACACACACACACACACACACACACACACACACACAACACACACACACACACACACACACACACACACACACACACACACACACACACACACACCAAATATATATATATACACACATGTAAAATCAGGATGCGGGTACCATCTTCTCCAACATCGTAAAGTCAACAGTCCACCATAGTTGCCGTGGCCTCCGCTAGAGGGCTAGACTTCAAGACCACTCCTTCAGCCTTGTTCTGTGAAGGTCGACTGTGCTACTTTAAAAGTCTTCGTAAAAACTGTTGATTCAATACATTTTCTTATCGATAACCAAACGAAATTTAAAAAGTTATTGATATATTTCGTTTTTCTTTTACTTTTGTTTTTCTTGCCTTTTTTTTGAATGGGGTTTTAAGGTTAGGTTTTTCATATTTTCTCATTTGAATATTAATGTTTTCCTTTTGTATAAATATGAATGAATGATACGAGTAAGAGAGGTTCGATGCGTGTGTGTGTGTGGTATGTGTGTGTGTTGTGTGTGTGTGTGTGTGTGTGTGGTGTTTGTGTGTGGTGTGTGTGTGTGTGTGTGTGTGTGTGTTGGGTGTGTTTTGAAAGAGATAATAGAGAAAGGGCAGAAAGAGGAAATAAGAGAAGGCTAAAGAGAAGGACATATTAAATGAGAAAGAAACTATAAAGAAAGTAAGAGAGATAGATATAGAGAGAAGAGAAATGAAAAAGAGAGGGAGAGGGAGAGATAGAGAGGTATGTGAGTAAGAGAGAACAGGGGAAGAGAAAGAAAAAGAGGAAGGAGAGAGAGGAAAAGGATGCATGAGAAAGATGGAATGTTAGAGTAGAGGAAGCAAAGAAAAAAAAAAAAAAAAAAAAAAGATAGAGACAGGGACATAGAGAGAAGGAACCAAAAAACAGAGAGAAGAAAAAAAAGAAAGAAAAAAAAAGCCAAAGACAGAACAGAAACAGATAGTAGAGGAGAAGAGGCAAAGACACAGATAGATAAAAGAAAGAAAGAGAGAGAAAAGAGAAGAGAGAGGGAGAGAGAGGAAAAGAGAGAGAGAGACAGAAACAGAGACAGAGACAGAGAGAGAAAAAGACGAATCGAGAGAAAGAGAAAGAGAGAGAAAAGAGAGAGAGAGAAAGAAGAAGAAGAGAGAAAAAGAGAAAGAGAGAGAGAGAAAGAAAA